GCTATCTGGTGATTTCCATGCGTGTGGAAGGTTGGTGCGGTTGTACCGACGTTCTGCCATCAGGCAGCCGTACCGGCGTTGTTCACAGCTCCAACGAGCCTGACCTCCGCCTCCGACGCCATACTCAGAGGCCCCCTTCCACGCGCCCACAGTCCTCTCGCCGGCCGCGAGTCACCACCGTCGCCTAACCCCTCTCCGGCCTTCCCCCTCGACGCTGCCCGTGACCCTTCGACGTCGGCCGACAGTGACCTTGCCGCCCGCTGTCAGTGACCTACATCGGACCGCCGACAGCGGCCGTCACTCGCTCGTGCGTTTTGAAGGGCGGGACACCCCGCCGCCAGCAATCGGGACAAACTGCTAGATCACCCCGACGCCACGCCGCCGCGGCCGACGTCCCGCCGGTCTCGACCCGGCCCGCTACGCAGCGCGTGCCCACTGCCCCATCATCGAATCAGTCTCGTTGACGGAGCCACGCACTGGCGCGGCGGCTGGGGGTCAAGGACAACAGCGGCGACGCAGACGTCGACGATTGGACGGGGCGCGGAGGTCGGGATGAACAGACCGACCTCGTTAACTTCATTCACAAACTGCGCATGTGTGTACACCACGGGCCCGTTCACAGATGCGCAGCTTCCGGTGATTTTGTTTTGAGCTCTTTGAGCTCCTTCACTGCTTCGTGCTCCTTCAGTGAGCGTCCATCGTACCGAACGTGCCACTCAACCACTGCTAGCTGCCCAACACTGCTGATGTCCGGAGAGGCTGCGCCTGCCTGGTCAGCGCAGGATGACCCGGTCATGTTGTCACGAGCCTGCGCTCAGTGTCGTCCATAGCCCTCCCGCACACTCGCTTCGGCTTCGAAGAGTGTCGCCACTTACCCGTGCCCAATGGATGGACTTTTCAACATATTTGTGGATGCCTCAAGGAAGTGATGTCACTCTTTACATTTGGTCTGTGAGCGAGGTAATGGAACAACTGACTTGCAATTACCATGTGCCCCCTCCTTAGCCAGTTTGTAACCGTGTCAGTTCAGTACCTCCATCGTCATCCCCAATGCCGCCCCAGGGCCACTGCGGTCCCTCAGCCGGCGAGTCCCGCCGAGTCGTCCCCGGTCTCCTCCAGGGCCGTCACCGCTCTTGCCCCCGGCGCGTCGCTAGTCGTCCCCGGTCTTCCAGAGACGTCCCGCTCTGCCCCCGGCGCGTCGCTAGTCGTCCCCGGTCTCCTCCAGAGACGTCCCCGCTCCTGCCCCCGGCGCGTCGCTAGTCGTCCCCGGTCTCCTCCAGGGCCGTCACCGCTCTTGCCCCCGGCGCGTCGCTAGTCGTCCCCGGTCTCTTCCAGAGACGTCACCGCTCCTGCCCCCGGCGCGTCGCTAGTCGTCCCCGGTCTCTTCCAGAGACGTCACCGCTCCTGCCCCCGGCGCGTCGCTAGTCGTCCCCGGTTCCGTCTAGAGACGTCCCCGCTCCTGCCCCCGGCGCGTCGCTAGACGTCCCCGGTCCCCTCCAGAGACGTCCCCGCTCCTGCCCCCGGCGCGTCGCTAGTCGTCCCCGGTTCCGTCCAGAGACGTCCCCGCTCCTGCCCCCGGCGCGTCGCTAGTCGTCCCCGGTCGCCTCCAGAGACGTCACCGCTCCTGCCCCCGGCGCGTCGCTAGTCGTCCCCGGTTCCGTCCAGAGACGTCCCCGCTCCTGCCCCCGGCGCGTCGCTAGACGTCCCCGGTCCCCTCCAGAGACGTCCCCGCTCCTGCCCCCGGCGCGTCGCTAGCCGTCCCCGGTTCCGTCCAGAGACGTCCCCGCTCCCGCCCCCGGCGCGTCGCTAGTCGTCCCCGGTCCCCTCCAGAGACGTCACCGCTCCTGCCCCCGGCGCGTCACTAGCCGTCCCTGGTCCCCTCCAGAGACGTCCCCGCTCCTGCCCCCGGCGCGTCGCTAGACGTCCCCGGTCCCCTCCAGAGACGTCCCCGCTCCTGCCCCCGGCGCGTCGCTAGTCGTCCCCGGTCCCCTCCAGAGACGTCCCCGCTCCTGCCCCCGGCGCGTCGCTAGCCGTCCCCGGTCCCATCCAGAGACGTCACTGTTCCTGCCCCCGGCGCGCCGCGAGTCACCGCGTCTGCTGCCGCCGGAGAAACGTGACGCCGCTCGGAGAAACGGCGGCCATCTGGCTAGGCCGGCTGCACACACAGCTGGGCCGCCCCTGACAGCGGCCGGGCCGGCTGGACACGCACGGTCCGCCACCGCCGCCCGGGGGACGTACTGCACTGGACGCTCGGTTCTGTGTTGGCCTACGGCACATCGGCTAGAGACACGGCGTAGCAGGGCGTCAAGTCGCATCATGCGAAAGGTTCGACAGAATCATGAATGCCTTAGAAGTTGGAAAATTAACCGAGCTTTCAGAAAATGTCCCTAACGCCGAAGATCTTTATGACATGGCCACACAGGTCAGCACCACCCAAAAACATCGTTTGGTGAAAGTTGTGTTTCACAACAAGCCTCAGACTATGTCAACCATCAAGGTTCGAACGCAATGCGTGCTGAGGGAGCCGCACGGATCTCGCGGCGCTACGCGGCCGTGTGCACTCGACGGGAGTTGGATCTGGCCGATTGTTTTCGGCGTGGGGTGATCGACTAAAAGAAAAAGCCACGAACCGACTCGTGCACAGTGTAGTGCGTGACAAAGGAAGCACATCTCATTGTTATCCGCCAGCTCGTCACGGCCCGGCGCCTCCACTGAGCCGGTATAGTCTAGCGAATTGAGAATTTCACGCCGCTCAATTCCCTCCGACGCAATTTTCACCCAGCTTCTCGTGCAGGGAAAGAAAACGCCCCCCGCGAATGGGAGAAACTGGTGACAGATCGCTGGAAAGCATCCCAAGCCTTCACTAGCAGACGCAGCGCAGACATCGCCTGCATGACAGCCGGGGCCGGAGCGTCGCTACCGAGCGCGGGTGCCGGTCGGCTCCTGGCACGCCAGGCCCGCTCCGGCCGGGGCGGCGGCGGCGGGCAGAGGTGGTCCCGGTCCGGAGAGCCGGGAAGCAGGTCGACCCGTCAGGTCTAACCGGAGCTCGGGTCGGGCGCGGCAGACAATCGTGAAAGCGTTTTGTTCTGTCGCCTCAAGCAGAATTACCACGCTTCCATGAACAGACGGTAAACGGCATATAGCTGGTCCACTTAGCACCCAGTTGGATGCACTGCATTGTTTCCAAATACCAGTGTTCAAAGCCTGCAATGCAGTTTGTGCAGCCCCAATAGCTCTAAATTCCTTATATCGCCACAACAGAAGCACGATTTACATATGGCCGAAGTGCCGTTCGCCGCTTCGCCGCCACTCACTGATCACCGACGGCCTCGCGTTCGGAGTCACGTGACGCGAACACGGGCGGAGCCCGAGCCGCGCCACAACAGCCACGGCCCGAGCGGCGCCCCTCGCACCGACAGCAGAGCAGCCGGCGGCGGTGGCCACACCTGGCGCGGCTGGCCGCTTCCGGCGTGGCCAGGGGCGCCGGCGGTCCGCGCGCGGCCCGTCTGGTGGCCGCCCATAGACGGAGGGCACCAAGGCCGAGCTCAAGGCCGGCCCCGCGCCCGCCGATCGGTCGTTTACCTGGACCGGCGGCCAAGAGCAGGGGTGGCGGCGGCCGTGGCGTGCACGGAGATGAACGGAACCTGTGATTAGGCTGGAGATCCCGACGGGAGTGGGAGGGAGAGGACGATCACCCTCTCTGGATTCCTGGATCCAAAGTATTTACTGCTGAGACCAAGGTACATGCCAACCTATCCCGCCCTATCGCTGGCATGTGGTATAGATGCACGTTGTGTGCCACACATTTTAGACACAAAGAGGACTTTGGACGCCCCCCCCCCCCCGCCTGCTTCTGCTCCAGAGCATATCTTTACTTGGATTTTCAAGAATGAAAATCTTCTGAAGGAAAAAGAGCTTTCCAACCGTGCATTGCAACGTCCCGAAACTCACGGCCTTGCCAGCGATGCTCTTCACGACTTGAGCGGTTTGATCCGACTTCCTTTTGCTGTTCAAACACAGCTTTCAGTGACGAAGATGAGTTACGCATTCTTTAAAGTATAAATTTGCAGTAGAATTGAAATGATCTCAAGTCATCACAAGAACGGTCCATGATTCATCGCACGAATAATCCCGCTACAGCTGAATAACGGACACGGACTTTGCCACTCGACCGTCAGCTCTGACCCTACAGACTTTTAAATGTCACGGAGACAGCCCCTGCAGCAAGGCTCCGACAGAACAGAGATTGCAAACACATAGCTCAATAGCGAGACCTTGAACCTCGCTATTACGTCCGTTCCAGTCGTACCGCCGCAGGCAAACATGGCGTCTTCCTCTCCGGGCGACCGATCAGTCATACAACTCGGCGTCATGAGGAACTTGACAATCCAAGCGCATCTGACCGGAGCTCTTGGAGGCCCTCGTCGACAATTTTCCGCACAGACGCACAAGTCCACGTAAATCAGGCCGGTCGCAACAAGCCAAGGACGTCGGTAATTAAGGCTTGCCCGGGGCCGATGTCCCACACTGACAGAAAGTCGCGGGCACTGAGGAAACTGAGTCAACTTCTGTGAACTGATGCTCATCACATGCCGAGGCCCCAGCTCCCGGAAGGCCCGCAGGCCGTCACATGCCGGGGGTGGGGGAAGGCAGCCCTCCGGAAGGCCCGCAGGCCGTCACATGCCGGAGGGGGAGCAGCTCCCGGAAGTCCCGCAGGCCGTCACACGTCGGGAGGGGGGGGGGGGGGAGGGCAGCTCCCCGGAAGTCCCGCAGAGAGCACCCTGAGCCCGTGCTCTCGCCATCCGTGTAACCACAGTGTCCGGCACATTTCAGGGGCGCGCCACCGAGCCGGCCGTTGACGGCGCGGCCATGCCCGGAGCGCCGGCCGCCTGGCTGGCCGGCCTGCTGATCGGCTGGCTGGCCGGCGCCGGGGTGCGCGCCGGCTCCGTGATCGCGCCGCCCTGGGCGGACGCCGCGCTGAACCCGTGCTCCGAGCGCAGCTGGCAGCTGGTGCGCTGGCCGGCCGACGGCCGCTGCTACCCGATCTTCCAGCGCGGCCCGTGCGACGCCACGCAGGAGCTGGTGTGGGACGCGTCAGCCGGCCGGCCCGCCTGCGCCTGCCCGGCCGGGCACCTGCACCACGCCGCCAGCGCGCGCTGCTACCGGCATCACACGCGCGGTCCCTGCCCACGGAGACACTTCTTCGCCGAGGACGCGGCGTCGGGCGCCGCCACGTGCCGCCGCTTCGCCGAGTGCCGGCCGGGCGAGATCTTCTGGCCCGCCGACGGCCGCTGCCACGCCCACCTGACGCGCGGCCCGTGCGGCAAGGGCGAGCTGCTCGCGCTCAACCGGCTGACGCTGGAGCCCGAGTGCGGCTGCAGCCGCCGTCAGATGGCGCGCAGCTACTGGCCGCACACAGACTCCTGCTACCAGGAGTACACGCGCGGCCCCTGCCCGCACGGGCTCGTCTTCGTCTACAACAGCACGCGCGGCGTCGTCGAATGCGCCTGCCACGCGCGCATGCTGGAGAACTACGACGCGCGCACGGGCCAGTGCTTTCCGCAGGGCGGGCGCGGCCCGTGCCCACCCGGCAACACGTTCGCCTTCAACAACGCGACGCGCCGCACAGAGTGCCGCTGCCCGGCCGGCAGCCTGGTGCGGCCCGAGACGGGCGCCTGCCACCGCGCCTTCACGCAGGGCCCGTGCCCGCGCGGCCGCTTCGCCTCGCCGCGGCCCGGAGCGCCACACCAGGCCGTCTGCGTGGCCAACCCGTGCCAGCGCGGCGAGCTGTACTTCCCCGACGACGGCTTCTGCCACCGGATCGGGCGGCGCGGCCCGTGCCCGGCCGGCCAGCTGGTGCAGTACGAGGCGTTCCGCGGCGTCAGCTACCGTGGCGCGTGCGGCTGCACCGAGCACTTCACACAGAACTACTGGCCGGCCGACGGCCGCTGTTACGAACAGCACACGCGCGGCCCGTGCCCGGCGCGGCTCACGTTCGTCTACAACGCGACGAGCGGCCGGACCGAGTGTCAGTGCGCAGCGCGGCGCGGGCGCAAGCTGTACGAGGCCGCCGGCGCGTGCGACGAGCCGCGCTGCCCGGCCGGCGAGCTGGCGGCGCCGGCGGCCGGCGGCGGCTTCCGCTGCCGCTGCCCGGCCGGACGGCGCCGCGACCAGCGGCACGGCCGCTGCCTGCCGGCCGCCCAGGCCGTGCTCGAGCGGCTCGAGCTGATGCGCATCACGCGGTGACCGGCCGCGAGGGGCGGGCCGCGGCGCAGGCGCGCCCGCCCGCCGGCGGGCCGCCGCCACGGTCGTCCTCACTTGATGGGCATACATGGTGGGGCCGGGAGCGAGCCCCCTAGTTCTCCCGCTTATCAGCACCGACATTATCACGAGTGGCGCGACGGGGCGGGTCTGACGTACGGCGGGGCGGGTCTGACGTACGCCGAGGCTAACTAGCAGCGCGCAGACTCCGAAAGACAACGTCATCATCAAGACGGAGGGGAGGTTTTTGAGGGACGATGCATTCGTCTGGTTATTGTGCGTTTCTGGCGTGATGAACGCACTCATAACCCCGCACAATCATTAACGCCGTTTGTGTTTGTGATCAACATCCGTGCATTGCGTAAATTATTGTAAAATGCTGACCTCAACAGCCGTCAATACAGGCACTTGTCATTGTGCACCTTCGTGAATCTGCCAGGAGAGCGAGCTTCCACCTCAGATGTCTTCCACGATGTCAGTTCAATGTCGGACAACACGGGTGGTGAGCGCTCATGCTGGCCATGACCCGGCAGAGGCTCATCACGCAGCGGATGGCAGCCCCAGGGCGACACACCGTTCACGCCCGCGGCACCGCATCCCAGCTCAGAAGCGGCTCCGTAACCCCGCCCGCGGTGCCTCCAGCAGGTCGACCTCAGGTCAACCGAGGCCCACACGTCAGGTCCAGTCCGGATCCGGACGGCTTGGTACTTACGCCAGGTCGGCGGTCAGGTTCGTGATGGTGGACTCGAGCTGCCCGATGTGGGCAGTGCACTTCTCCAGCTGTTGACAGTGCTCGTCCAGCAGCTCCGTCTTGTCGTCCACGTCGTTCTGGGGCAACAGGGGACAGTCAACGGCGGCACAGCCGCAGGCATCACACGTCAGAAGCCGCGGGTAGAAGAGGCCACCGAGAGAAGCTGGCGCCCTCCGATCCCAGATTCCAGCTCCCCGCCCCCTCCCCCGTAACCCAGACCACAGAGGCGACGTCAACCCGTTCAACTGACAGACCCCAGACCCTTCAGCTCACTTTAGCCATGAAGCACACACTAATGCCCAGTCTCGCAATATCACTTCAACCCAAGCTAACCTCCACCGAGGCCACTTCTCTGCCCATCCTGACGGTCTTATCCGACCTCACCCTACACCACCCACCTCGGCTCCGACCCCTGGACACGCACCTGGAACTTGTCCCGCTCACGGATGACCTGCTCGATGACCTTGGTCTGTCGGCGCGCCTCGCGCTGCAGCTCGTCGACGGTGGCGCGCAGGTCGGCGCACTGGCGCTGCAGCTGCGAGCTCTGTGTCTGGCACACCTGCCGGGCCGGCCGCACGTCCGTCACCGCGATCAAACGTCCAGGGGACGGCTGGGCCGGCCGAGGACGCCCGCGCCCAGACGCCCGGCTCACACACAGCTCGGCGGCACCGACGGGCAGGACACGATCGGGACACGCTCTCCCCGGACCGCGGCACCGAAGGGCAGGACACGGTCGGGACACGCTCTCCCGGACCGCGGCACCGACGGGCAGGACACGGTCGGGACACGCTCTCCCCGGACCGCGGCATCGACGGGCAGGACACGGTCGGGACACGCTCTCCCCGGACCGCGGCACCGACGGGCAGGACACGGTCGGGACACGCTCTCCCCGGACCGCGGCAACGAAGGGGAGGACACGGTTAGGACACGCTCTCCCCGGACCGCGGCACCGACGGGTAGGGCACGGTCGGGACACGCTCTCCCCGGACCGCGGCACCGACGGGCAGGACACGGTCGGGACACGCTCTCCCCGGACCGCGGCAACGAAGGGAGGACACGGTTAGGACACGCTCTCCCCGGACCGCGGCATCGACGGGCAGGACACGGTCGGGACACGCTCTCCCCGGACCGCGGCACCGACGGGTAGGGCACGGTCGGGACACGCTCTCCCCGGACCGCGGCACCGACGGGCAGGACACGGTCGGGACACGCTCTCCCCGGACCGCGGCAACGAAGGGGAGGACACGGTTAGGACACGCTCTCCCCGGACCGCGGCATCGACGGGCAGGACACGGTCGGGACACGCTCTCCCCGGACCGCGGCACCGACGGGCAGGACACGATCGGGACACGCTCTCCCCGGACCGCGGCACCGACGGTCAGGACACGGTCGGGACACGCTCTCCCCGGACCCGACAGCGCCGCACGCCGACATGGGGCGTCCGCGTCAGCAGTGCGTTTGCTAGCATTAGAAACGTAGACGCTAAAATAACACACTTCCGTGTTTGGACGGCATTACAACAGTTGAATTGAAAAAGCCCCGCAAACAACATCACGCGCAATGTTTCAGAAAGGCGCTGACCAACCCTACTGTGAAGCCTTCACAACACACAGACCAGCGGTGTAGGCGCTGAATGAAACGTAGACTAAAACATAGCGAAAGGATAAGTGGCTTCATCATTATCATTATTATTATCATCATCATCATCATCATCATCATCATCATCATCATCATCATCATCATCAACAACAACAACAACAACAACAACAACAACAACAACAACAACAACAACAACCATATCCATAACAGGGTGGGAACAAAGTCGACCAGCCGCTTGTTTCGACGATGTCAACGCTTAATTATCAAGGACCACGCTACAACACATCCGCGTGAACGTTCGCTCGCGTGACGGGGGTACCTCGAGTTCGCTGGTGGTCTTGATCAGCTTGTTTTCGCAGTCTTTCAGCGAGGACTCCCCGCGGTCCACGAACGTCCTGTTGACAGGGCAGACGTCAGGTGACTGCGCGCGACGCTAGAAACCATGCGTGAAGAGGATCGGTGTCGTCTACAATCGCCCTGTTCAAACACAGCCGTTAGCAGCTTTTGCAAATGCCGCCTGCAAGTGCCAATACTTAACAGGCGACAATGAATGTTTTGCTCCTAGTCCCGCACGGGTGGTCTCCAGACGTCTCGTTCTGTACAGTATTTGTCTGCACTGTCGCTACTGACTTGTGCCAGCACACAGCAGAGCCACTGATACTCACCAAACAATCAGTCATGACCTGAAGACAACTGAAACGTCCATCCTGAATGTCCTAAAATGTCTGAGCTTACAAGACCGGCACCCCAGCCGGTCATTTGCGGTCCTCTGTAGTCTAGGCGTGAGAGAACTGCTAATCTTGAGCCTCACAAGCTTGGTTCGGTGTGGTCTCCCTGGTACAATGGCCCACACACTCCGGCGCTGTGCAGGTCGTGTGTCATCGATATTGAACGCTTGGGCTCATGGTGTGTTCGACACGATCTCTCCGCGCTGCTGGCAGACTCTGACATGTTGTAATGTAACGCACGCGACTCCCTACCCCTTCCCCAGGAGCCCGGTAAGCGGCACCTGGCTGACATTGGAGCCGGGACCACCTGTGCATACAGCTATCGATGTGGCCGTTTATTTCGCGGCTATACAGGCACGACATTCACGTGCATTCAGTTCCCCAAGCATGGTACGCGGCAGCCCCCAACAAATCCGACGGCGGCCCTGACGTGAGCGTATCTCATGCTGGAGGCCTCCCGTGGACAATGTCCTCCGACCGAAGGGCCCACCAAAAACACCGCATAGTCGGGCCGCCGCCAGCACTGACCCAAACACTAGCCACAGGAAGGGCACGGAAAACGGAGCAAGATGTGATAACAGACCGCCGTAAGCTGCGGCGCTGTCCATGCGCGAGCCAGTAGAAGCACGGCCGTGGGGTTACGTTGTGAGGACCGTTGCGGGGACCGCACATGCCAACCGACCACCAGCTTTGCATCAACTGCAGCGCACGAGCTGGCTGGAAACAGGTGGACAGTGCCTTCATAAGTCGTGCGCGAGGATAAAATATATTTTCTAAGGCACTGTGATAGCTCTTCGTATGAGGTTACCAGGTTAATACAATCACAGATCTCACGTGCATTTCAATAAAACTTGTCTAGGTAACGTAAGGGGGCACTACCATAACATGTGAAACGACAGAAGTACCCGTTCCTCCTTAGTTGGATATAAGGGCTCATTCAGTGATTTCAAGCTCTTTCATCTCCGTTATTGGATGCCCTGCTTCACACTTCACATATACGTACGGGTGACACACCTAGCTATCCATTCACACAGCCAACCTCTAGCCTGGACTAACGAACAGGGACGCGACAAAAATATTGTGGCAGTCAAAGCCGGCCATACCTCTCCATACGTTATCGTTTAACGTGACGCGATCGATATGGTTCAACCTGAGTTGTGTGTAAGGCACGACTCGTGATTTCAAGGAACCTTCCATGGATGTTACTCCACGACCTACTCCACACACCAGACTAGTTCCGATGATACGCGTAATCGATGCGGTTGTGCTATGCTATAACCATATGGCTACATGGTAAAACGACGAAGCTCTAACCTGGACTAGTCCACAGGGACGTGACATAAATATTGTGGTGTCAACATCTACTTTTCCGAACACCACATCGTTGTTCTCAGCACCATCCCTTCTGATCAGCCGCCGTCGGTGACTGTCCTCTACGCAAAATTCTCTTTCATCGTTCTCTCCCCAACGTCTCCTCCAGCCGGTTGCCGTCGCCGCTCAGGGCGCCGGCCCGACCTCTGTCGACCGCTTCACGAACTTGCGCCTCTCGTGGCCGCCGCGGATGGCGCTGAGGTGGCGCGCCACGGGCGGCAGCAGCAGCGGCAGCTTGAGCAGCACGGTGAGCACCGGCAGGTAGAGGCTGACCTGCAGCGGCGGCGGCGCGCTGCAGCGCACCTCCAGCGTCTCCGGCGTCATCGCCAGCACGACAGCGTGCCCGGTGGCGGCGACCAGCGCGCTCCAGCCCAGCCCCGACTGGACGAACATGAACTCGCGCCAGCTGAGCGCGGCGCCCACGCTCGGCAGCGAGGTGACCCCGACCACGGAGAGCAGGCCGAGCGCCAGCGTGCCGGCCGAGAGGAACGCCTCGCCGCGCCAGTGCATGCCGCGGTTGTAGACGGTCACGCTCTGCAGCTCCGTCTCGTTGCCGGCGACCACCACCTGCGCCTCGATGACGGTCGGCGACTGGTAGACAAGCGGCAGGTAGCGCGGCGACCAGACCGCCGCCGAAATGCAGGCGTGCAGCGACGCCAGAGCCAGCATCAGCAGACCCAGCTGTTTGCGCATGCGCAGCCAGCGGTCGAGCCAGCCGGGGAAGCGGCGGTACTTGGTGCCGCGGTACAGCTGCAGGTAGGCGGCCACCACGCCGGCCAGGTACACCACGGCCAGCACGGCGCCAGCTGTCATCGCCAGCGCCTTGTTCACGTTCACCATGAGCAGCGGCTTGAAGAGCTCGAGCGTCCAGGGGCCGCCGGTCTCGGCCGCCGGGCACACCTGGTCGCGCAGCAGCAGGAACACCCAGCAGAGCAGCAGCAGCAGCAGGCAGATGGAGGCCGGCGCCCGCCACTGCGGGAACAGTTGCAGCGGCAGCGTCTCGATGCGCCGCGCCGCGCGCAGTCCGCCCAGGTCCACCGGAAAGAAGCCGAGGTCGGCCACCAGCCCGGACACGCGCGCGCGCGCCGCCGCCGACTCTCCGGCCACGAACACCTGCTTGCCGCCCTGCAGGCCGCGCTCCAGCGCGTAGGCTGAGACCACGTTGAAGGCCTTGACGACACGCGCAGTGGGCGCCAGCATTTGCAGCCGCTCCGCGTTGGCCTCGAGCGCCACCTGGGCAGCGCTGGCGCCGTTGCTCACGTCCACGACCACCTTGCCGGCGAGAGCGGCCAGCGGCAGCGAGCCGTAGAAGTGGGCCGGCACGCAGACCACGAGCAGGTCGGCGGTGGCGGCGGCCTCCTCGGTGCTGGCCAGCGCCACCTCTGCCTCGTCCGGCAGCGGCGGCACGCGGCCCGGCCGCCGGCTGCCGAGCGTCACGCGCCAGCCGCAGAGCGCCGCACGCGCCGCAAACGCCCGACCGTAGTCGCCGGCGCCCAGTACGGCCAGGCGCCGGTCGCTGGCGGGCGGCGACGGAGGTGGCGGCGGCGCGGGTGGGGCAGGCGCCACCGGGGGCTCGCCGGCCGGCGGCGGCGGCGGTGGCGGCGGCGGGAGAGCCGGTGCCGCCGCCGCTGCCGCCGCCGGGGCGCCAGCCGGCTGGCCGTATGTGAAGCTGACGCTGACCGAGTACGGCTTGTCGTCCGGCAGTCCGAGCAGCTCGTCCAGGCTCATGTTGGCGTACGGCTTGGCGCGGCCTGGCACGGTGCCGGCCTGTGCCGCCGCCGAGCGCGACAGCAGCGGCTCCAGGTCGGGCCTGAGCGAGCCGCGCCGCGCCGAGCCAGCCGCTCCGCCTCCCCTGTCGGCGACGGCTCTGCCCCGGTCCCGGACGTCAACCCGGTCTCGGCTCGCTCGGCGATCGGGGAGGTCCCTGTCTCGCTGGCCGGCGTCCAGGGGATTCCTGCTCCTGTCGCGGCCCCGGTTCCGGTCGCCGGCCGCCGCCTGCTCCCGGACGACCCTCGGACGCTGCGCCTTCGAACGCAGCTCGTTCGCACGATTGTTAGAGTACATTGTGCCTGGCGGTCTGTCCAAGCGGCAATCAACTTTCGCAGCCGAGCGAGTCGATCAACGCCTTCTGAAGAGGTCTTGCGGTGGTGTTCGCCGGCGTCGTTTTTTGTTTCAGACCCGAACTCTTTACAATATTCTCTGGGTGGCTACGCACTGGTGCTCCTTGCAACACGGTTGCGTGGCATCAAACGTCTTCAACGCGTTATTTTCACTCCAATTTGATCCTATTCTTTCTTCGGGTCTTGGCTTTACCAACCTGTGTTTGCGGTTCAGGGCACAGACGCGCCTCCTTCCCGGTGGTTTGACCGAGATGGGTTCCTTCTCACCAGGCTCTGGCGTTGGCCGCCGGCTTCGCAGGCCTTGAAGCCGAGCCGCTCCCCCCCGTCGGCTGGTCCCACCGCTGTCACCGCGGCACACAGTGTTCCTCACACTACCTCCAGACCTCCGACCAGCCTGGGCCGAAGAGCGGGCCCACCCCGACCTTTGCCCTCCGCCGCTCGCGCGATAATGACTCTCACCACTCCGTGCCGTCGGCCAGCGACCCCATATCGAGCCGCGTGAGCCGGCCGAATGGACACAATGCATGGCACGCACCCATTGATTCACAGTATCAGCGCCGACTGACGGGGCGCCGGCCAACCCGTACGAAGAAAAGGCTGTTTACGGCGATCGCAGACACGTGACGTCATTGGCGCATGATCGATACCTGTTGGCAATGGCCAAGTGGACAGAATTTAGAGCGCACTATTGCGTCCGTATCCAGGGCGTTTACTCGGTCGGCCTGGAGACCAGGTTGCCTTGGCAACATGCCTGTATGTACAGCGCGGGGGCGACACCCGCGGGGGTGATGACCGACACGAGGTGCGGAAGCGGAATAATGACAATCCCCACGGGAGGCAGGGACAATGCCAAGGACAACAGTCATGGGGAAAAGAAAAAAACGCCAGGTGTTGAAAGCCATCGAAAGGTAAAAGAAAGTGGGTCCCCGGAACGGCAAGCACAAGTTGCCTTCCTTTGTGTAGCCGGGGGGGGAGGGGGGGGGGCACCATCCCTACTCTGGCGATTATTGATGTGACAAATGAAGCCCATCGTAACGCTGAGACGGCAAACATACGAACAACAGCTCAGCTGCAGCTCAGCTGTTTAAGAACTGCGCTGAGCAACAGCTGGAACGAGTCATTTCGGCCCTTTGGGGAACGGTATCCCGCTTCGGTGCACACCGCATTGACCGTGCAATCGTACCGTGTCGTCCATTTCAATTGCGGGTCGGCTCTGTCACAGACCGTACGATTTTAGTTGCGGATTAGTTGTTGCATCTCAACACTGTATAAGCTGCGCAGCAGTCCGGACCCAGAGGTTCGCGTTTGTGCTATCAGCGGTCTTTGCGCATCCCCATTAGGAGTCACTTCATACAGCGTCAGAGACCGTGCAAGTAATGTGTTTAGTGCAGGTCCACAAAAGGTCTGATACCCACGGCAGCGTGACCGTATCGATGTGGATGCCATGGGTCCTTTGTTGCTAGTCGCTGTCGCAGTAAGTCACTGAAGACCATGAGTATATATCGGGATAACACCAAACGTTGGCAAATATAGTTGGCATACGTTACGATGTTCATGTGGCGAGGGTGTTTTAACTCTTCGGACGCGTCTTCATCAACAACTGGCGACGACACCATGACAAATCCTACCAACCCTACAAATCGGCCACCTCAGCGGCCGGACAGCGGACGGCGCGCGCGCGCGCGGTGTGCCACTCATGCTGGCTCTCAAATACGCCACAGCGGGAAGCGGTATCTTTTGTCTACGTCCGTCCTACAACCAACACTATGTGAGTCAGAGCAAACGAAACGGACTGGTCGCTGCAAGCCATGTGAATGTCTCAGGGCTTCGAGTAGCAGTGTGTTCTATGTATGCAAGAGGCTTAAGCATCCGCGCCGGCACAAGCCTGACCTTTCCACGGAACATCAGATTCTCAAAAAGCACGCATCTCATCTGCAAAAACAGCCTGTTTATGTGACCGGTGCTATTTTGACCAAACGTGCTGGGGTACGATCACCTGCGCGGACTTTAATTACGACTCCTGGGACACCTTATGCATAATTCAGCAATGTCAAGTTGCATCACCCAGGTGGGCGTAAAAGCCATAGTGACATGATAAGACACTTTTAGTTCGATCCGGCGCTTGATAATGCCCGTTTCCACATGTTGCTACACAACACACCTCTAACATAGGGCCTGAACGTCACGCCACCCCAGCTTGTCCGGCCGTAGCGCCGTTACACTAACACATCGGCGTGCAACGGTAAGATTGGGTTTTTCTCGCGCACTGGGGAGGGGAGGTATCCTTCTGCGATCTTTCTGATCTCTCGAAGAACAGCTTACGCTAGCATCCTGAAATTTTCAGCATCTTCTCCTGCCGTAGGTCAGGTACACTTTGTCACTTTGTTCTGAATTTTTCGGCACCTTTTACTGCGGTATTTCAAGAACGCTTTGTCACTTTATCCTGAAATTTTCAGCATCATTTCCTGCAGTGTTCCGAGAACACTATGTCGCTTTGTCCTGAACTTTTCAGTGTCCTCTCCTGCAGTATTTCAGAACCGCTTTGCCGCTCTGTCGGCCAAAATCGCAGATGAGCCTAAGACATCTGGCAATACGCTGTAACTCGTCTTCCTGCGGTATTCGCAAGTTTGTTCACCTAGCCATGTCACTTACTCTCTGACCTTTCAACGGCGTGGTGTGGTTATCATGGATCACTGACCAAACTTGGCCTTTAGCACTACCCTCTGGTGAAATCTACACTAGTAGCGTAAATTGTCGGATTTGTCGACTTCCTATGCACAGCATCGCTTACGCACCTGCGATTGACAGCCTGACCTTCAAGGACATCGTAGGTCACGAACCTTATTTGGCCTGCAGATGTACGTTTGCAACCATTGTACACCATTGCCAGCGTTTGTCGTACATATCTGGCCTTTCACTCCATGTTACCTACACACCTATAAGTGGTAAAGATAAACCAAACATGAAATATTAAGACCGTGACCTCATTGGCCTTACATATAACTAAACACATAATCTGTGGTTATTTGTGTTACTTTTTGTGAACTTCTAGTTGATGCACCGCTTTCATAAGCACCACATATTTACCTAGATACGGTTCTGTCATCTCAGAAAGGTCGATACAGATCGCTGACCTAAATAAAAATGCTACCTGCTAATAAAAAACGAAAAAACATACAATTCGAACATAATGGTTGGTAAAGATCCTTAAGTTCTAAGGGAACAACAAATAGCGATGACCTGTGATTATCTGCGTCAGGTACCCCTTGGTTGATACAATAATGTAAATCCGCGCCTTATCACATATTTGAAGGATTAATTCACACCGGAATAGACTCAAAAAGTGCTAATTAGATCTCGGGTTTGAGACCCGGCTGCGCCATGGTAGCTCAGCGCATACATGGCCAATGTAGTCGTTGGTGCCCCAAAAAAGGCGCACGATGGCGGACGTCACGCTTCTGTTTTGAATCTCTGACCTTGCACGCCAAAACAGCTCGATAAAAACATAAGTTACTAAGCTCGGCATGGCCGCTTGAATAACACCTCGTCCGCCTTTCCAGCCCACCCCCACCCCCACCCCCAATCCGAAAATACCTGGGTGGATCTACCTCAGCTCGTCAGGTCGATGTCGGCGCGGGACACAGTCAGGGCAGCGTCGGGCCGCGCCGAGCCGAGCGGGCTGGTGGCCCGGCGGTTCCACTGGGTGTCTGGTAAACCCGAATCACGCGGCCCGACTGCCCGCCATGCCCGCCCTTCGTATCAAGGCGAAAGACAGCCGATGCCTGTGGCCACATGTACTGAGAGCGTCGTAAACCAGCCGAGCGCCATAAGCCTCCGCCGTCAGCCATGCCACCTGGGCCAGCGTCGGCTCCGCGCTGCTCACTGCCAAACTGTCCGCTCTGGCACCGTTGGCGCCTCTGTCGCCCGCCGTCGGGCCTGACGACCGTGTCGCACGCTGCCGCGACGCGGCGCCACCGTCGCGGCGTGCTCGATCGTGACGTGGGAGGGCGGACGACGAGAGGGAAGGGAAGCCGATGGCAAGACTCACTGTTGAACAAGTTTCCTTGTAGACTTCTCCTAGGGCGTCCCGTCGAGCTTATCACACATCCATAACATCAGCTGCTATTAACTCGAAATCCACCGGCCTCTTCCCATATATTCCTCACCGAACCAGGTTCGATGCCGTCTCGCAGCCTTCGAACTCGCCCGGTGTCAAAAAGTGTCACCCCACTGTTTTGTTCATTGCCACTACTGCACAACACGGAACATGAACACCAAAACGCGTCTGCCCTGGTCGAGCGACTTACTTCATCTTGGTGTTCTTGGTCATGACCCGGCTCAGCTCCGCTTGGGAGCCGCTCAGCGAGTTCTGCAGATTCTTCACCTGTCAAACGCACGGCCACGATGGTATCAGCGGAAGCGCACTGCCAGGTAGATGGTGAATACGGGAGGTTTCCGTTTGTTTTTTGTCCTCACCCTGGTGTTGCGGCATAATTTCCGATCGAACAGCACCTGGTGCTGTTCGATCGGAAATATGTTACTGCAATTGGTCCAGTTATTTATGCTTACAGTAACCCTGACAAAGCCAGAGACACGTTGCATTGACAATGGTGGGCCATGGCATATCAGGTTATGCCAAAATGACACCATTTCAATATCACACGTACCCAATTTACAGCCCGTATCGTTATCGCGATCTCGTTTTACACGCCATAGTTCGTCGTGGTAATGGGTTGAAACACATTGCCTGAGGCCCGAGGCATCAAATAAAGCCATCCTGGACACTTTGCACGCCAGCATAGATGAATAATGTGTATAGCTATAGGACGTTCAACGCGATCTGAGGACGTATCCGTTAACACGCGTGCTACAGGCGTACTAAAGGTGTTATGTTGTCAGTCTGGTATGCTGGGTCGTCTTAGGTCAGCTTTGTGATTTGGTGTGCAATGATGTTGGGGTCGGAATTCATAACACCAACCTCATGTTATATTGCATGCTTCATAGGGGTACTGGCGAGAATGGCGTATTGCACGCTGTTCGGGAGCCTCCCAGCCTAGTAAAAGATCCAAAATTAATTCAAGGTCAACCTGACATTCAAGGTTATCGCCGCCGGAGCAAGGCCAAAGCCGTCTCCCCTATATCGGATTTTTCTGTTTTCCTGAAGCGTAATAAGCGTACCTTCCTTGATCTTCAGTTATAACACGAATATAATATAAGTTATGACAGGATTGGGAATTTGAAAACAGTCAGTAATTGATTTTCGGTCACCACACTCCGCCCCGCCGCATAGCGACCCGTACGTAGGTTTCGCTTTCCCTGTGGTGCCGTGTGTGAGTCCTGACGCCGACCTGACTGGACGACAGGGCAGTTGTAGTACCCTGTGTAACCCCGCGCCAGGCCCATGGACCGCAGGCTCGTGTTCGGGGCTGGTAGGCGTACATGCCGGCTAGCCCTGACCTGAGCCTCCAGACTGGAGATGAGCGCTCGGTGGGAGGCCGTCTGACTGTGCTGCACCGTGCGGTCCGTCTCAGCGGCGCCGATCAGGGCCTCCAGCTCGGCGATGCGCGACTCCATCTTCACCCGGTCGGCCAGCTGGGTCTCCGTGGCGACCTGCAAGACAAACAACGCTGCGCCGTAAAAAGCGTGCCCATAGATCACATCGGCGGCGATGTTTTGGATCGCGGCCCCGTTACAAAGCAGTCCCAACACAGCAAAGCACTTGGCGTACATAATCATGCCGATATGGGCATTGCGTGTTTTTGTGACCGCCGGCAAACATCGCTCGACCATAACGCCCATCTTCAAATGTCGGCAAAAACCGATGGCGTGATCTGGATCATAAGCCTGGAGTCGTCAGGCTAATAATCCGTCACGAAGCCGACGCAGTACCGGAGACAAACATTCACATGCAGAGCCCTGCAGCGGGCGGCGTCGCCTCCGCAGCCCCATCGCCGCCACCCAGCTCACCAGCATCCTCCGCACGAGGCGGGCGGCCTCGCCTGGCGCCAGCAGGGGCTGTTCAGCCGGCCCGGCCGACGGCCGCGGCCGGGCGCCGGCGCCAGCCTCCAGTCGGAGTGCGCTCGGCCGGCCGGGCCCCGGTGGCGCGCTCGGCACCGAGCCATGCCGCCGGGCACGGCAGGCTGCCGGCGGCGGCGGGCTGCCGCCGGACCGTCCCGCCGGCCGCGGCGGGCTGGAGGGGGTCCGGCCGCGCCACCTGGTGACGCTCCGGGAGGGTCGGCCTCCTGGACTGGAAGGGCTCTCGGGGGCCTGGCCTCGTGACCTGGCAGGACTCTGGGCGCTCTTGCCTTGTGACCTGGGCGGGCTCTGGGAGGTCCCATCTCTTGGCCTGGGTGGACTCTTGGACGTACAATCTTGACGCCTAGACGGACTTCTCGAGGTCCTATCTCCTGACCTGGACAAATTCCAGGCGGTCCCATCTCTTGACCTGGGCGGACTCTGAGAGGTTGGACCTTGCGATTTAGGCTGCTCATGCAAGGTCCGGCCTCGCGTCCTCGGCGGGCTGGACGGCTTCCGTTCCCGTGGCCTTGACCTCGACGGTCGCGACCTACCGCAGCTGTCTGGCGACCCTCCCCCGGAGGCGGGGCGGGCCGAGAACCGCACCGCCCTCACCGTCAGGCACACGCCCTCCTCATCCTCAGACATGGCGACCAGCGACCGGCCGCTGGCGAGATCAGTATCGCCCCGGTTCACTCCAGGAGAGCTGTTCGACATTCGTCACGGAAACATAACACCTCCGCTTAAAAAGACTGATCGCCACTCTTACGGACGGCATGGACCGACCGTTACCTGCTCACAAGCGAGGCCGTAAGTCCTGCCCCCCACGCATCATGAAGCCGACGCTCTGCACGCAGCTGGGCACGATCGGTCGGGCACCGCCTCACGGACTGTCCGGGACCTGACCTGTACGGGACGCCAGCTGTCCTCTCCGGATGAGGGGGAGTTAACGCCGTCGAGCAATGGCGAAAGACTTCAGAAGAGCAACGCGTGCAGCGAGTGAACTCACACACACACATCAGCCCTTGGACGTCTGCACCTTGCGCCAAATCCCATCATTCGAACAGCATGAAAGAAGCAAATGGCAGTTGCGGTGGAGCCCGCGCTATGAGCCCCAGGCAACACCAGTCGACAGCGCCGACTCTCAGCACTGGACGGTAAGCCGCCGACAGCAGCCGTCGTCAGCACCAGCCAGTCACGGCAGCCGAGCACAACCGACCGTGGAGGCACAACCCCAGCCAGCGACACAAACCGAGAAAACCGCCCCGAGACGCCCCAGATCGGCAGCCTCAAACCGCCGACAGCACTATCTCCCAGCACCGGCGACTGAGAGGGCCCTGTAATGGCTGACTGCAGCCACACCCCCACCCGGCAACGCCGCCGATGAGCGCGGTCGGCGCGTCACCGGCCGCCCGCCGGCCGGCCGGTCGGCGACTGCCAATCCCGCGCCGGCCCATCTCCAGCCGTCCGCGGCGCCCCTCCCCGCCGCCCGTCACTCGTGGCGTGTCCGTGCCGTCCCCATTAGTCCATCGGGGCGGCCGCCGAGCAGCCGGCCAGCCCGGCCAAGTGTCGGCTCCGTCAACATGCGTGACAAAGGGCAGCACGCACCGGCCGCCCCCGGCGCTAATCAAATATAACTCGACCGCTCTCCAGCGGCCGCCGCCAACACGCCGCCACGCCGAGCGCCGGCGAAAAACAACGCCAGCAGACGGCGCGCCCGGACGGACCCGGCGGACAAAAATAACTGCCACGGGCAGTGGAAGTCAACACCAGCGGTCTATGCCGCGCTGCCCAAACAAGTGACTGGAAGGCCACGACGGCAACAAGCCGGCGAAGACTACATATCAGGAAGACGTACGAGCCCTGTGACTCAGAGGACCACGGTTCGATTCCCTCTACCGGTACAATTCAGCGACCATCCCTGGCCGACCCAAGGTCCGGTGCTGCGTCACCGCAGAGCGTCGCTCAGCCCCGGGTAGGTCGCCGCCGACCAAAAGCGCCGGTACTCGCCTTGAGCCGGTGTCGCAGCTCCTTGCGTTCCTGGTCGACGCGGTGGTAGTCGCCGGTGGCCAGGCTGCGCTCCTGCTCCAGGGTGCGCACCAGGCTCTCCAGCTGAGCAGCGCTGGCCATGGTAGCCGCCGACTCAGAGTCGCTCAGCCTGGCGCGGAGGGCGTGCGGCAGGTCAGACGGAGGCTCGGATGGAAACAAGGCGCCACAATTGAGTGCAGTGCATACTAATGCACATGTGCGTGTAAGCAGCGCCGTAGAAAAGCGTAGGTTTGACGACCAAGATGAAGGAATTCAGGGCCCTGCAGGTGACGGCAGAGTCTGATTTCCGTCCACTTGCTGAAACTTCCAAAAGTTCCAACTCCACCATCTTCGTCAGAGTTATAACAAACGCTCGCCTTACCACAGACCGACTTCCTCTGAGTTATTACACTTACCAGTACAACCGTCTCTATTCGCCATCAAGCACCACTCGGCGCCTAACCTATCCTCACGTGAGCCTGAAACTGCTACGTTAACTGTAACCTGGCGTCTCGGCTCGGAGACCGCGGTGGGTGGAGCGGCGCGCCTGCTCCGCCGCCCGCGCAGCGCCGCCCGGGTCGTCGCACCTGTGCAGCGAGCGGAGCGCCTCGTCCAGCCGGTGCCGCAGCTGCTCGCTCTCGTTGGTCTTGACGTCGAGCTGAGCGGCCGAGCCCGCCAGCTGGCGCTCACAGTCAGCCAGCTGGCGGCGCAGCTCCGCAGCCTCCGTCTGCAGACGATTACCGTCCTGGCGACAGGGGACGCGGCAATGTGCGGACGGATACCTCCCAGGGGACAACACGGCACTGCGCGGACGGATGCCTCCCAGGGAACAACACGGCACTGTGCGGACGGATACCTCCCAGGGAACAACACGGCACTGTGCGGACGGATACCTCCCAGGGGACAACACGGCAATGTGAGGACGGATACCTCCCAGGGAACAACACGGCAATGTGAGGACGGATACCTCCCAGGGAACAACACGGCAATGTGAGGACGGATACCTCCCAGGGGACAACACGGCAATGTGAGGACGGATACCTCCCAGGGAACAACACGGCAATGTGAGGACGGATACCTCCCAGGGAACAACACGGAGCTGTGCGGACGGATACCTCCCAGGGAACAACACGGCACTGTGCGGACGGATACCTCCCAGGGAACAACACGGCACTGTGCGGACGGATACCTCCCAGGGGACAACACGGCACTGTGCGGACGGATACCTCCCAGGGGACAACACGGCACTGTGCGGACGGATACCTCCCAGGGGACAACACGGCACTGTGCGGACGGATACCTCCCAGGGGACAACACGGCACTGTGCGGACGGATACCTCCCAGGGGACAACACGGCACTGTGCGGACGGATACCTCCCAGGGGACAACACGGCACTGTGCGGACGGATACCTCCCAGGGGACAACACGGCACTGTGCGGACGGATACCTCCCAGGGGACAACACGGCACTGTGCGGACAGATACCTCCCAGGGGACAACACGGCACTGTGCGGACGGATACCTCCCTGGGGACAACACGGCACTGTGCGGACGGATACCTCCCAGGGGACAACACGGCAATGTGAGGACGGATGCCTCCCAGGGGACAACACGGCAATGTGAGGACGGATACCTCCCAGGGGACAACACGGCACTGTGCGGCCGGATATCTCCCAGGGGACAACACGGCACTGTGCGGACGGATACCTCCCAGGGAACAACACGGCACTGTGCGGACGGATACCTCCCTGGGGACAGGGAACACAGAGCTGAGCGAACCGATGCCTCCCAAGGGACGGGAGTACGGCACTGGACAGAGTCCATTTCGTCGGTTCATCGGAGGTCAAGTGGCAACCAGGATTGGCTCCCCCCCCCCCCCCGAGTCGTCCACACAAAACAACCTCACATAAGTGTCCTTGGACCGTTAGCAAGGCAGTGCGCCGTCACATGCCCGTCAGACCGGGCACGGGACGAAGGGTGGGCTCAATCAACCCGCATGTCCGTGGCAGGAGATCTGAGCTGAGGCGGACCACAGGCACGGAGGACAGCACGAGATCCAGCCGGGAGGGACCGTGCCCTTAGCACGAACTCTGCGGAACGCATCGGCCCGAGAGATGGCCTAGAAAACTTCGGCCGGGCGCAGGAGGGAGGGAGGGAGACGGTGGGGTCTGACCGTGGTCGGGACGGCAACGGGCGCAGGAGGGAGGGAGGGAGAGGGTGGGGTCTGACCGTGGCCGGGGCGGCGCCGGGCGCAGGAGGGAGGGAGGGAGAGGGTGGGGTCTGACCGTGGCCGAGGCGGCGCCGGGCACAGCAGGGAGGGAGGGAGAGGGTGGGGTCTGACCGTGGCCGGGGCAGCGGGGCGCCGGTTCTCCTCCTCCAGCCGACCGCACTCGGAGCGGAGGAACGCCAGCTCATCCTGCAGCTCCTGCCGGAGAGAGCGGCGGCGGTGCCTGCGACGCGTGGAGGACCAGGGCCGGCTCCGGCTGCCACTAGCAGGCGGTGAGTGGCATGCCAACGGCCAGGGATAACATCCGTCATCCACTGGAGGCGGTGCCGCGCGATTAGGTGAAAATTCAGGCCGTGGTTTTTGGTATGGATATCACAATATGGAAGGCGCCCGCATGCATTCCGTACCGAAATTTGGAGAGGTGCTATCACGCATATGAAACGTGACCGCACGAACATGTCTTACCGAGTCCACGGCCCTTCTATCTTTCTTCTGCAGCTGTTCAATCAGCTCATCCACCTGCCGAAATGTCACAAAATACATCATCGTCCAAACAAACGTCCATAATTGTTAGGCCCAAACACCACATCTCAAACACGTTTTTATCCAGCACCGCACAAGGTATTTGGCCACTCGTGACCGCCCGGGGTCGTGCGAAAGGGTTCCTCTCCTCGTCATCCCTGGATCTAACCATCAAGTTGGAAATATTCAGAGAACATTCAATAGCCCTGACCACCATTAATCATCAACCAAATCAAGTCATCGGCATTAATCAAACGCCAATGAGCCGCAAGCACGGTCCCACACACCAACATAAAAAATTCTACCTCATTTACAAATGGAATGGGAAGAGTTTGCAACATAACAAGTCGATCACGAAGGCCAGTGGCCGACTGTCCTCCATCGCTAGCGTGCCAGGCTTTTCCGCGACGAAAACACTGTAGCACTAAGTCAAATCCAAATAAAAACACCAGTGTTAGCAACTCCAACCTTATTCAGCACACATTAGCAAGGCAGACGAGCCCCAGAACACCTCAGTCGCCCAGCTACCTCGTAACCGATGTTAGGACGTGATTACTCAACATAAACCAGCATGCACAGTCATCTGAACAGAATAACTCACGCCAATCCTCCAACCACACGATTGCTAACTGCCTAAAACGATGACCCAAGCCGCAAGCAGCCGGAGGGTCGGATTGGCAGTGGCGGCAGCATGCTCCATGCATCCTCAAGACCCACGCAGCTCTGAAGTGCTAACTCCCCCTCCTCAAAACAGAAACAAGAACAGGACAAAGCCCAACTTTGAGGTAGTACCATGTCTATAACCCAGAAGGGAGCTCCCAAGCCTAGCACAACAAGTCGCAAAGGCGATGTGCCAGATCGCACCAGGGCAAGGTCACCACGTCCCAGCGCAAGTAAGCTACCTCACACATCCGCGCAGGAAGCTTCAGCACCCGCTCGATCATCTACGCCCAGGGATGGGCGTCAGCTGCTGCCTCCCTCACACCTACAACCACAGGAACGATGACCAGCCTTGAGGTGGCACACAATCCCATGGAAGAAGGCTCACCCCATGCGGCGGCGCCCAGCGTCGGACCCACCTGAGCCTTGAAGTAGTCGCGCTGCTCCTCCAGACTCTGGATCAGCTTCTGCGTCTTGTCGGGGATGCGCGCGGTGTTGGTCTTCTGCCGACTGAGCCGGTCCAGCTCCAGCACCAGCTGCTTCTCTGGCGGTGTCCCGAGCGACCCGGACAGGTCAGTGGGGCGGCTCTGGCTGCCGTCAGGGACACGGTCGGCCCAGCGAGACGGACGTCCGGCCGCCGCCTCACCGCGTAGCTGTGAGCCCTGTGTTGTTGCATGCAAGTTGAAATACACCCGACGCGACCTTGACCAGCGCCTCAGAAGTTCCCACGATGCCGTGCGGACAGACGCATGGCTGTCGTGGCAGAGCAGCCCGCGGTCTATAAAAGGCTCCCGATGCGACGCCGGGACACGCGGAGGCCGCCTAATGACGGCTGTCGCGAGCTCGCGTGCCGGCTGCCGCATAATCACCGCAGTCTAATGAAGTCTGCGCAGGCCGCCGATCGAAGCAGCCTCCAATCGGATCGGAAATCGCTGCCGCCCGCCACGCCCGCAGGAACGCCGCTGCCGCCAATCATGCACGCAGGAACGCTGCTGCCGCCCGCCACGCACGCAGGAACGCCGCTGCCGCCTACCATGCGCGCAGGAACGCCGCTGCCGCCAATCATGCACGCAGGAACGCCGCTGCCGCCTATCATGCCCGCAGGAACGCCGCTGCCGCCCACCACGCACGCAGGAACGCCGCCGCGGCGTGGCTGAGTTATGGTCCGTTCACATCCCGAATCAGGACCAATGCACACGAACCCCGTCGTCCTCACGGATGCCAGAGTACATTCCTGCATCTTATCTGGGCCATACGCCTGACGAGCGGCTCCCAAACAGCGTCCCGCCCGCCAGCCTCCAGCACCACAGTCCGACGAACCCGTTCCAAGTGGCGACTAACAGCACCACAGCAACCACTCGTCGGTAGCACAAACCAGCGGCAGCCGGCGTCGGTCCGGACTCCCCACCCTCCCGAGCGCGCTCACCGTTCTCCATGACGCGGTCTAGTCGCTCCTGCGTGGCCTTGCGGTCCTGACGCATGGTCTCGACCAGCGCCTCCTGGCGGGCGGCCACCTGGCGGGCGGCGGCCAGCTCGGCCTCGGCGTCGGCCACGCGGCGCCGCTCGGCCGCCGCCTCGGCCTCGGCGTCGGCCGCGCGCGCCCGCGCCGCCGCCGCCTCGGCCGACAGCTGATCGGCACGCGCCACCGCCTCGTCCAGCTCATTCGCTGCGTCCTTCACCAGCGTCTGTGACAGGGGAAAGAGCGGCTGCCGGAGTGAGACTGGGCCCAGAGACGCGTCTGCGTTAACCACTGCGCGTCTGGGAAACCCGAGGCACGGGGTTCGATTCCCTGCGGAGCCAGCCCTTCCTGCCAGGGTTAGAGGCAGACGACGCCATAAAGCCTCAGCAGCTGAGTACGTCGCACATCCCCAATGACACGGCATGACATGGGAGTTGTTGAGGACAACCGGGACAGGGTTGACACAGTTTTGTTGTGACGCATCTGGGGTGAAATATGCCATCAAGGGAGTTACTGAGACCGGTGTCAGTCCGGGTCACCTCGGGTGTGGGTCAGGCGGGTCTGGAAGTCAGTCATTAAGAGTTATCGAGGAACACTGGGGACGGGGCTGATCGGCAGTCACTGAGGAAAGCCGGGAACAACTCTCAGCCGGGAGTTGCTTAAACGAATCTGAGATAGAGCCAATTCGGAGTTATTGGGCCGAATCTGGGATAGACCCAATTCGTTGAGAGCTGTTGAGAGATGTGTGGCAGATTCCATCTCCGGAGGTAATGAGATGATCATTGGGCAGAATCAACTGAAAATGACCATTTGGAGGACGCCATTGCCTCGAGACCCGCCACCTCACGCGTGCAGCTAACGGACACAAGCTACCGCTCAATACCGGCACGGTACACTAACTAGCGCAGACAGCCACTTCATGCCGAATGAAGAGTAGTAATACGGGTCCAACTAGCAGACCATACGCCTGGTTCCAGCGCTGGCAGAGCGTCTCCGCAGGGTCGATCATGTGCCTCACCTGCTCCTGCTTCAGCTGCTGCTGGCTGGTGCGCACCGCCTTGCTCCGGTCCTCGTCCAGCACGTGCACGATGCGGTCCAGGTCCTCCAGCTCGCGCTTGAGGGCGGTGTTCTTCTGCGCCAGCTGCATGGCCCGCTGCATGGCCTCGTGCTGGCTGTGCAACGTCTCTGGGAAGCGCCCGGCCGCCGGCTGGGTGACACGCGCTCAACCACACTCCGGCTGACTACCAGGCCCTGCGGTCTGCACCACAAGGCGAGTGGTGATAAATGCCACAACACCATCGTTTTCGTATACCTAGCTGTTTCTGTTACCAGCGCTTTACGTTAGTACAATCCCTTACCAGTATTCTACTCATATACCTTCCTGAAGTATCACTTCTATGCAATATCCCCATTTAATGGCACTTCGCTTCAGAAGTTTTCGCACAGTCTGGTCACCGCGGTACCTTTCAGCTGCTTCTCCAGGCGGACGTTGGTCTTCTTGAGCTCGGTGTAGGGCACGTTGGCGCGCGACATGTCGTTCTCCTTGGTGTCGGCGTCGGCCAGCACGGCCCGGTACGGCCGCCCTCCCTCCAGCTGACCGGTCAGCCGGCGGATCTCCGAGTCGCGGCTCTTCACCTGCGGCGACAGACGTCCATCAGCTGGCTCGCTCCCTCACAACCGCACCCGACTGCGGTCGGCGCTCCGAGAGGAGTGTTGTCGACATTGTTGGACGCGGGGACATTGTTGAAATGGCTGTGTTGTCATCGAAGAGCACCCCCGATGTAACACTCAATTCAGCAACGCGCTCAAAGCCGCGCAGAGCCGCCCAGAGCATGGGTCTCCGCTGCCTTGCCCAAGGCCTAAGAGAGCATCATAGCGTTATCGGGAAGCAAAGTCGCCATCATCCGCAGTTTACAACGCACGCGTGCCATGAGTCGCCAATGATCATGCGGTGAGGGCATGACAACCATTCCTGTCAGCAGAGGTTACCCAACGTAAAGGTCGAACTTCCAGTGCAACGACACACTCTCGTCAGCGACAGATTCTGCGCTCAAGTGGTCATTCCCCTATCGGATTCATCGCCCAAATGGTCATTCCCCTATCGGATTCATCGCCCAAGTGGTCATTCCCCTATCAGATTCATCGCCCAACTGGCCATTCCCCCATCGGATTCATCGCCCAAGTGGCCATTCCCCTATCACGCGTCAGGTCAATGTCCTCGCACCTAGTCTCGCCGCCTGGGTGACAGGCTGGCGGCCGTGGCGGGCCGCCCGTACCGGGTAGTGAGCGGAGCCCAGCCGGACCTTCTGTACGGACCCACCTTGTCGCGCAGCTGCTGGGCGGCGAGCTCGGCGTCGTGGCGCGCCTCCTCGACCGCCTGGCGCTGCCGCTCGAGCTCGGCCACGCGTTGCTCGGCCGCCGACACCAGGTCCACCGTCTGCGGGTCACAGACCTGGCCCACGGCCCGAGGTCAGGCGGCGGCGGCGGGGGGAACGAGTGCGAGGAACGGGCGGCGAGGGTCCCCAGGAAATGGGAGGGAAGTCATGGCCAACATAGTTTGGGTTGTGGTATGCGAGTCCACGCTCAACACAATGAGCTTCCATTTTCACGTGGTCACGAAGCCAAAACATCGGCGATGAAAGGCTAGCTATCTATAAAGAACTATCCCCACGATATGTATACGTTGTCACAAGATCGCAAATCATTTACAGTCATGAACTGTTCGCTCCAGCACCACGTTAACTTTGAAGCACCACCAGGGTACGCGGCACACGTGTAAGGAGGGTACACACTCACCAGGGCACGCGGCCAAGCACCACCGAGGCCTGGCCCAGCGTCGGCGCGCCCCGTCCCACCGCCCGATCCCACCACTGCCGCCGCCACACAGCTCCAGCTCCGGCTGCGGGCGCCTCACCTGCGGGGCGCGGCCGGTCGGCCCGGCGCCGCTCTCAGAGCCGGCCGACAGCTGGCGGCTGAGGTCCAGCCGCTGCCGGCGGCCCGGCCGCGGCCGCCGCTCGCCTGCAGCACGTGCGCCGCGTCAGCGCCAGCCGGCTGGGGGGCGTGCACGGCAGGGTCGATGGGGCCGCGGCGCCGCTCGATAGCGGTGTGGGCGCCGCTGATCGCGGCGCGTCGCAACGCGCGCCGCCGCCGTGTTTACGGTGGAACAGGTGAACTGCCGCTGCTTATCCACAGGTTCTACCCACCTACCACGTGATTCTGGAGAATGGGCACTGGAGAAAATGGAACATGTTGCGCCTACTTTCTCAAATGAATTCGGACTACACGCCCATGACAGTGGCTAGTGTGGAAAGAACACTACCGAGCCGTAAGGCAAGGGTCAACGTCCGGCCAGAAAAGGTGATTTGTCACGAATTTGCTATTCATTCAGCGCGTAGTGGGTACCACCGATGTGTAGTACAAAACCTCATATCACCGCCCACCCCTTGGGCGTCTCAGCACATATTCGTTGATGGATGGCTTCCTTACGAGGAAGCATGTAAATTGTGTTGCTTAAATCAAAACAGCGAGAACGACCGTAATGATAATGCTTGGGAGACGTTTGAGTTACGAACCCACTTAAGTATGATGCGTTGTTTGACACATGGTGTGCCACGTTACTCAGGTGAGTCCGGACCACTAACTAACTGGGCCCCAGCTTGTTGCACCCGTCAGCGGTTCAGCGTAACACAGCCCCGAAACCAGCCGGCCTGAGCAGGTGAACCCCGGCCGGGACACCGCACGAGGCAGCCGATCACCATCACGTCCGTGCACGCGCGCGGCAATCAGCGGCGCGTGGCGGACGCCGACACGCGAGGAGCCGCCGATACCGCAGCCGTTTGAGATAACCGGTCCACGGCTTCCCAAAACAGCAGGCAGCCCTTCAGCCGACCTGGCTGATGCTGCCGAAGCCCGGCCGCAGCTTCTCACCGCGCACCCTTGCCACGCAGCTCCGCCATTGGAGCGTGCGTGCTCGCATCACAACACACCCGCGCCGTTTCACGCCTTTCGCTCCCCTTTCACGCCGCCCTCCGCGTACGTTAGGCTGATCCGGCGCATCGGGCGGATTTGACGGCCGATCGAAGCGTTTCATTTCCGGGCGAGCGGCGACGCCCCGCCGGCCGCCCCAGCCGCTGTGTTTCGGAATGTCCGCCGCCCGCCGGCGCACAGCCCGGCCCGGCCGAGCGCGTGTTTCGTCGATATGGGGCCGGGGCGGGGCAGGGGAGGGGCGCCGCGGGGCTGGGAACGCACACCGCCCTGATGAGGCGTACGGCCACCGCGATGGGAGTTCGAGATGCTGGTAGGCGCGGTGGCGCCACGTGGTGGGTAAGAGGGCCAGGTGTTCCGAACTTTTACAACATTCAGTACTCACCATATCGCAGTTAACACATGACATCCATAATGAAATATCATGAAAATCACACATTCCCTCTCTCAGTATGTCCCACTGCCCCCCCCCCCCCCCCCCCCCGTTGCCTTCCCCCAGCCCCAGGGACTTGGGCGCCACTGTCAGTATTACACGACTACTTACGGCAACAGGTCAACACGGGAACGGGCCAGCCAATGCTGGTGTGTGCCAGTTGCGCCCAGGCATGGAAAATAAGCCAGGATTCTGGTTTCGAGGCCGAATTCGAAGCGGGCAATAAGATGAAGTCGAAGTCGAAGCCGGTGGCTTTGAAACTTCAACTACGAAGCCGAAGTCAGACTTCAAACCTAAACACGTGAAGCCAAAGCCGAGATCAGCGGCTTCGAACCTAGTAAACACAAAGCCAAAGCCGAACCAATTTGTTTGAGATCAAGAGGCCGAGGCAGAAGCCTTATCAACTGTACAACGCTGCTTTGACAAATGAAAGTTGTCCACGTCCGTGTCTGCTAGAACTGTATGATATCGGAAAAGTGCATCAGGATTTCACGGGGTGATTGAGGCGGGATATTACAAACACGGATGAAAATTTTTCGGACTATCGTCCTTGTTTTGGATTTTACAATGTGTCCAACATTTCGAACAGTTAGTTCCCCAGCCGTGTTAATCACCAACGAAACTGGCCGGTTGGTTTTGGCTTTCACCCATGCATCCGTCACAGA